GAAATTCTGACACATGCTACAACTTGGGTGAACTCTTAGGACATTATGCTAAGTAAAATAAGCCAGTCACAAAAGGACAAATACTATATGATTCTACTTATATAAGGTACCTAAAGTAGTCAAATTCATAAAGATAGAATGTAGAGTGGTGGGTGCCAGAGGCCAGGGTAGGGAGGAAGAGGGAATTACCATTTCATGGGTATAGAAGTCCAGTATAGAAGCTAGTCCAGCAGATTTTGACATTCTGCTGGCATTTTAAAAGAAAGGCTGATGCTTTTTTTGTTTTGCTTTTAAGTGGAGCATCTTAAGTACCATAAACTACAAAGATTTAGAAGATCACGGTCCGTGCCAGTGAGCTGTATAGTATTCCATTGCATGAATGTACCACAGTTTTATCATTTTCTTATTGCTGGGCATTTGGGAATTGTTTCCAATTTTTCATTGTTATAAGCAATATTGCAGTGAGCTTTCATGTATGTGTCTCCTTATAGACGTGTATGAACATTTTTTTAGTGCATTTACTTAAAAGAAGAATTGCTGGGTTTTTGCATTTGTACATATTCAATTGTATTAGATATCACCAAGTTGCTTTCCAAAGATGTTGTATCAACTTATCTTTCCGCCAGCAGAATATGACAATTTTTGCAACCCTGTATCCTTGTCAATACTTGGTATTATCAAATTTTTACATTTTTGCCAATCTGCTGGGGTGAGATTGTTTTTTTTGTTGTTTTTTGTTCTAATTTACATTTCCTTAATTACTAGTGAGTTTGAACATCTTTTTGGATGATTATTAGTTAAAGATCTCCACATCTGTGAATTGCCTATTAAAATCTTTCTCAGATTCCTACTGGGATGTTTATCTTTTCTTATTTAAGTTGTAGGAGTCTTTCATATCTTTTGAAAAAATAATCCTTTGTTAGTTATATGTATTACAAATATCTTCTCCAGCATCCTGGTAGCTTATCATTTTACTTTGCTCATGGTTTCCATTTTTATACAGAAGATTTCTATATTTAATAGTCAAATTTGACCAGGCATGGTGGCTCATGCCTGTAATCCCAGCACTTTGGGAGGCCGAGGTAGAAGGATCACTTAAGGCCAGGAGTTCAAGACCAGCTTGGGCAACATAGCAAGACGTTGTCCCTAAAAAAACAAAAAAATAGTCAAATTTATCAATGCTGTCCTTTGTGGTTTGTGTCTCTTATCTTCATCAAATTAAATAAACAGATCCATTTATTGTCAAATTTATAACTGTTATTGAGCCTTAATGATGAAAGGTTTGAATATTCTAGTTTAAGATTAATACACCTTTGTTTATATTCCTTGGCCCAAATATTCATATTTAATTTGTGGTTTAGGAGACTCGTTGGTTCAAGTTATTCTATTAGGGTTTTGAAAAAATCATCTGCTATCTTTACTCTTTGAGTTCTGACCTCTATTGAAGCACAAT